TGGCCCTCGAGGGCCAGGACTGCCCACCCCTGCATTAAAGTTTCTCTAAGATATTTCTTTCCTTTGACTGCTCAGAGCCAGGCAGTGGCCTGAGTATTTGAACATGTGAGTGAATGAGTGAATAATTGAAGTGTAAAGCGCTTTGGAGTTTGTGTTGACTTGATAAGGCTCTGTATAAGTACAAGCCATTTTTACCATTTAAGTAGTGCAAACAGGTCTCTAATTCAATGCCACGGGCATCGCACAAATCDTTGTCAGGGAGTCCCATCGCTATTTTGTAATGTTTGACCAGGTTGTGCCCAGTTAGGAGTCCAACCAGTGTACTTAAAGATTTCCTCATCAGGGCATCGAGAGCTTCCCCAAACCTAAGATTTGGGCCATTTATCAGATTCCGTGCATGTCTGCAGTCTTTTAACTCCCTCCAGTGGATTGAGTCAAGGAAGGGTTACTCACCTCCAAAGTTATAGGAAGTAGAAAGCTCCTTGTCAGAGTCTGTTAAATTTTTAGGTGTCTATCTAGACAGGAAACTTAACTGGAAAAGACATGTAAATGGAAAGTATAAGAAGGCAGCAAAGCGCCTAAACCAGTGCCATGGAATTACAGGTAGTCATTGGGGTGCTACACCAAAAKTTATCAGAAGGATCTACACGCCCTGTCCCATGCTATGCTATGCTGCTTCAGTGGGGTGGGTTCAACATCAGCTGTGACACCATAAAAGTTTACTATAAGTTTCCTTCACATAATAGTAAATGTACGCTTAAAGCATTGAAAGATTGTTGTATTARACATAAAAAACACAATGCATTCCTCAGCTCCCTCCTTGATTTTGAAATGGCAAGTCCTAATAAAGAAATAAARTTAGAGACCATTTGTGAGGGGGGTTATAATAAGTGCCGCCAGAATTAAAGAACAGAGGAACGTTCTTTAATTCATTTAAATAATCAACTAATCAACAACTAATAATCCACTATACAACTTAACATTAAGGTAATTATCAGTTCCTTATGAAGTCTAAATATGATTTCAGAAACATTAAGGTGATCAGGAAATGACTCCATACACCCTGTCATTGTTTTATTTATTTAAAAAAATGTCAGAACACAAAAGCCGTGTGTGAAAGCTTGGCTGCTTTTCATTAGCTACAGATAAGCAGCACCCAGATGTGTTTGTTTTAAGTCCTGATATGTAAAACTTTGGAACTGAAAGAGAGAACACTTTCCTTTGCCAGGACTACGAAGGCTTTTTTGCATGAAGAACGTCTTTTTTTTTTTTTTTTTTTTTTTTTTTTTGCAAATGATCCCACAAGCTGTAAGTTTTTACATCACTGTTGCTGAAGAAATACGATCTTATTTAGTTTGGTTTTAGTGTTAAACTCTAAACTAACAGTAAATGCAAATATTTAAAGTCTGGTATTCATGGAAATAAAGATGCAAATTCAAAATGCTTGATTTGCCTTAAATTAAGTCTCAATTTGCACATCGAAGCTGAAAAATACTTTGAGTTTTTTACAGTAATTTTTAATCCTTAGAAACTCTATGTCTACTGAAGTGTGTATTATTGTAATTGATTATTTATTTTATTTATTTATTTTTACCTTTACTATTTATAATTATCAAATGCCTCAAATGATCAAGTCTGCTGTGTCCGATCCCTCCCAGGTTCTCGTTTAAAGTGCAAACCTGCTTCCCTTATTATAATCACATTTTGTCCAGGAGTGTTCAGCATCTCTTTATTAGGAGATAAAATGTAAAGGCAGAGAGTTTGTCAGCTTGTTGGAAAGAAGGTGACTGCCTTACATGACCTGCAGTTCTGTGTGACATTGCTCCTGCCCAGTGGGAGGAGCCTACCTGATCCAGGTTTGTTTGCTCATCTCAACCCATATAACTGATGAGACGAGAGTCTATCTGAACCAACCCTACCTGCACCTGTTAGAGTCACTGTCCAGGTGAGTCTCAGCCTTCTTTGTGTCATTTCATTTTGTAAAGTTTTTTTTTGAAATTTTTGAACTGAAGACCAGAAACAGTTAGTTAGCACCAGCCTTGCATTTGTCATTCTACAAGTTTTAATATGCTCCTTGAATGCACTGCATAGATGGTTAAGTGAAACTATTGCAAATAAGCAGGGAGATATGCATAACTATCAAAAGATAAGTTGCATTTTGTGCATCTAAACAGACTTCATATTTGAAGTATTAATGAGGATGTTATTATTTATTATACTCGGTTTTAAATGAATGAAATATGGCCGACTTGTTTGGAGTCAATCCTGTATGTTAAGGCATCAGGTTCATTACGTAACAAACAGTAATGGTGTTGCAAACCTGCTTTATGTGCAAGCTGCCATCCGGGGGGTCAGGCCTTTGTCCTCTGCACAGGTGGTGGGGGTTAAATGACTCTGCACCCCTGCGTACCTCTCAGGTATCACAGTGAAGGGAAGATGTAAAGTTATAAATTTAAAGTCTTACATTTTCTTTTCTGACCCTTCTCGGTCATATACTGTAAAAATAAAAGGTGCAACTTTTTTTTTAAATTTAATGAAAATATAGATTTTTCTCTGCAGTGGTGCTTTATTTTTAATCACTTTTCCTTGACACCAGGCCATGTAATCTGGTGATGACAGATGGGTTCAGTTCTTCAACGATGATACTATGGCCTACAAAATATTTTGATACTAGTGCCTTTTTTCATACATGTTATACATGAAACTACCAAATTATTTCATAAAATTATTGGGAATCAATCGCTGTTTGTCACAAATAAATGATATGTATTGGAATGGTTACTATTGAATGTGATTATTTAGCTTGTGTCATTTCATTAAAGTTGTTATTTCTCCACTCTAACTAATACAAAATGTTGTTTTCTGTCGAATTCAAAATGTTTGTGGCAACATTATTAATAATATCTTCCTGGGTTTTTTTATCACATGACTACAGGATGTCTTCTCACCTGCAAAGAGCTATGGAGGACCTGATCAAGGTTTTCTACTGCTACTCAGGAAAAGAAGGCGACAAGTACAAGCTGAACAAGAAAGAGCTGAAGAATATGTTACAAGAGGAACTCAATGACTTCCTGAATGTGAGCAGCTTTTTTTTTCTCCTCAACACAAGTCTCATGATGTTTTTAAATGTGGGATCTATCAAAGCCATTTCCCCACAGATTCATGTTTATCAGTCAAAATTTATCATTTCACTTGGTTATGAGTTTATGCATTGTCCTGTTTTTGTTTTATTGTAGCTCAGTTAATAACATTATTATTGCACGTAAATGCATTTCAAACTGAGCTGATTCCAAATATATTTGAGTTCAGAAGTTCTGAATTTAGTGTTTTTAAGCCTGCTATCTGTAAGTCGGTGTTTTTCTCAGATTAATTTGACATTTAGGATTGTAACTCCTTAAATGCGTATTTTTTATAGCCTGGATGCTGCGCCTCATGTGTCCATAAAAAAAGTTTAAAGAAAAATCTTGTAAAAATTAATCATTTAACATTTCTCGTTTAGGGCACTAATGATGCCAAAGTGGTTGAGAAGATCATGCAGGACCTGGATGAAAACAGAGACGGTGAAGTGGACTTTCAGGAGTTTGTAGTTCTGGTCGCTGCGCTCACTGTTGCCTGCAATGAGTTCTTTGTGGACCTTGTTAAAAAAGAAAAAAGGGGCATTTAAAAAAAAGAAAAGGGGCATATTAAAAATGTGTGGGGAGGGTAACAACACAGACTAAAGTCAAGCTTTTAGCAGAACTGATATAGAAACAACTATAAGGTATGCATCCATGAAATTCACTTTGTAATGTTGCAAAATAAAATATTACAACTCAACTGTTTTTCCCCTTTTTTATAGAGTTGATTTAAAACTGTTCAAAATAATTTGCTCTGATTCTTAATTTACATCCTGCACGTCTATAGCGCCCCCACAGGTCATAGACAGAAATACAGTTTGAACTTGCAAGAATTTGTTTCCTCAGAATTTGTTTGTTGAAGCTGGCAGTTGATGGAAGTCTTTATCTTTTTACACAAATACTTATTTAACTGGAAGTTATTTTTAAACAATAAAAGCAATGTGTTTAATGTATTATATTGCAACCATGATACGACTAAATGTGTACTAATAAATGTTGAAGTTATGGTCAGAGAAATATTAGTCTCTATTCAACGACCAACATATATTTCACAAACCATATTTCAACTTAATAGAAAATATGTTATTTTATTATCATTATTGTATCATGTGTCAGTTTTGCATCTTCTACACAGCACACTGGCATAAACATGATCTATCAGAAAATCCATAAACCATCTGAGTGGTGCTTAAAGCATGGCTCAGTTCAGTGCTAAATTTGCAAGTAAAGTAAGTAACATTTATTTATATAGCACCTTTCATAGATATAAAATCACAAAGTGCTTCATAATAAAAGCAAGAGCAAATAAAATAAATTTAAAAGCATAGCAAAAGCATTGTATTCATACTAAAGTACAAGTAAAAACATGTAGGGGGAAAACAACTTAGCCAAAAGCCTGTTTGTAAAAGAAGTTCTTTCTTCAGATATTTTTTGTTCTTTAAATTTGAATCTGGTCTACACAGATCCTGTCCCCTGAAAACTGGGACATTTAGGTGTAGGACTTGAAGTTTTATTCAAGTACACTTCGCTGCAGCATGCAGAACGGGGCGGTGACAGACCTTTCCGTCGGTCCCATACCTTATATGGAAATGGGACTATTGCATTCCGAACATGAAGGGGGCGCTAGTGACACTATTTTCTATCGAACACTATCAACATTAACAATACAAAATTTACAGTAAGGAATTTCTTATCTTTATTTGCACCCATCCTTTTTCTCTTTTATGCAAGTTTGTTTGTTTGAAATACGCCTTATTGTTTGTACATTGTATCATTTTGTGTGTTCTTTGTTGTTTAATAAAAAAATAAAATAAAAAAAGAAAATTTAGTAAGGAAATGGCTACACAACGTGTTATGCCACGTGGTATGTCCCTTTTTCAGTTTCAAATCTTTATTAAATCTTTGTTGTTTTTGGATATTAATATTATATTACAGTAACAAACTAACCTTAGGCATTAAAGCTGTGAGGTTAACCTTAAGCATTAAACCTGTGAGGTTAACCTGAGGGTCTGTGTTTGGGGAGGTGGATAAAAGAAATTAATAAATAATGCTCTGAGTACTTCAACGTGAGTAGAAGAAACTCTCTAACTTCTTCCTTTCTTCTTCCTTTGCTCTCTTAATCCCGCGCAACCTTCATTTCCGGAATGCAATAGTCCCATTTCCATATAAACTATGGGACTGACGGAAAGGTCTGTCACCGCCCCGTTCTGCATGCTGCAGCGAAGTGTACCTCGTTTTATTTGCTCCCTAGTGGGAGGAGCCTGTGGTTTGCTCACAGGTGGCAACACATGAAACTGATGAGATGAGCGACAAACTGCAGTCACTTCTTCACACACCTGTTAGTGTCTCTGTCCAGGTGAGTTTCGACTGATGTATTTTTTTTTAAATCCATGTTGTACCTGAAATGTGTAACATTTCTTAAAATGTTCACTTATTACCTGAAACAGTGGTTTTAATTAATGTCAGCTCTGCATTCGTTCAAATGTTCTAATTGGTTTGGTTCCTTGAGCAATTAGGTAAATTAAGCAAATCTTCTGGCAGAAGTAACTTGATCATTTATTTTTCATAAATCTTCTCCATAACAATCAAATTCCTCCCTACAATAAAAGTGAAGTTTTATTTAAAAAGTGTGTGTGTATGTATGTATATATATTCATAATATTGTCCTGCTATGTTTTATTCTCAGGACTGTATAATGTGCTCTCCTCTACAAAACGCCGTAGGTGACCTGATCAAGGTTTTCCATAGCTACTCGGGAAAAGAAGGTGACAAGTATAAACTGAACAAGAAGGAGTTAAAGATTATGTTGCAGCAAGAACTTCCTGATTTCCTAAATGTAAGAACACTTTTTCCCCTCTTTCAGATGAGTGGTTACTGATCCCATTATCATGTTTAGGTCCAAATCACTGAGGCCTTAGTTTAAAACTGAGCACACCTTGTTTTGTTTACTTTTGCTGGTTTTATTCTTGTGCTAAATAAAATCTCAACACTTCTCTTTCAGGGCACCAATGATTCTTTCCTGGTTGAGAAGATCTTGTACGATCTGGATGACAACAAAGATGGTGAAGTTGACTTCCAGGAGTTCGTCACTCTAGTCTCTGCTCTGGCTGTAGCTTCTAACAAATTCTTTGAAGATTACGTTAAAGAGGAGGAGCGTGGAAACGATGAGGGTCATTAGTAATGTGGGGGTGGCTACAAAAATGAAACTCACTGCAGAATCTACAGTAAACAAGACTCTGTTCATCATTTTGCAACACAGCACTTTATATTTTGTAAAATAAAAGCAACCATTGTTATATCCCTCCAAGTTCTCATAAATAAAACTCTTTCTTGAAACTATTTGTATTAAGAAGGTGCATTTTGCACACATCTGTCCCATACTTCAGCTTCTAGCTTCCATCAGTTGAGGTCAAATTAGTTTAGTTTTAGCTGTGACCACCATCTAGTGTTCAATGAGTGAACAACCTGCTGACGTCCTGCAAATGTCTTCAATTTTCAAAATACTGTAAACGCATTGCATTTGATTCAGCTGGGATCAAAATAAACAAAAAATACAATCCTGACAGTCAACCAATGAAATGGCAATAAGATTTCAAAAGAAGCTCTAGATTTAGTGCAAAGTGTGTCCTTCATAAAAGGCATTAGGGGACAAAAATGTGCATCATTTTACCTGTGATTATTTAATTCTAACGTTTTTTTTTTCTTTACCACTTCAGTAGAAAGCAGTACTAAATATCTGAATATTAGTATCTTAGCTTCTTCATCATCAGTGGATGTTTTTAGATAGACAAGAAAGAAGAAAAGTTACAATGTAATGGGAAAAAAGTGAAAGAATTGATATGAGATATACGTCAAAACAATACATCCAACATCTGTCTGCACACCTGCAAAGAATTAAGGTTACAAAACTTAACTAAAGCATACATACAGTATATACATTTAGACAGATTAATAAACACCCACCTATATATACCTGGTGATCATTCAGAACCCTTCGGATCTGAACACCAGTCTGCGTGCAGTTGTGAGCAAGCATAAATTTACAGGATTTCTCCAACGGAATGTATAATAGTGACTGTGATTATTTAATTCCGACGGTTCTTGACCTCCAGTGACAGTATATGTGTGGAGCTGTAGTTCAACTTTTCCAAGATGTCAAACATTAAATTGGTGTTTTGCAATGATTTCCTAATTCTCAGACGTGAAGGATCTTGATTTAAAAACATCAGTCCTTTAAAACAGAGGTTTCAAACTCAGGTTCTGGAAGGCTTCTACCCTGCATGCTCTTCTTCTTCTTCTTGTGGTGTTTAATGGCGGTTGGTAATAAACTGAAGGTGTGCATTACCGCCACCTACTGGTATGGAGTGTGGTTCAAGATGATTTCACTAATATTTATATTCCACTAAAATTATTGTATTTATATTTTCAAATCTATCTATTCAAAGGGAATATAATAAATAAATAAATAAAAATAAACAATGAGAGGCAAAACCAGACATTGCCCATTTTTTTACTGACTCAGAGAGTGTGGCAAAGTTGGCATATCTTGCAGACATATTTGGTTTACTGAACAGCCTCAACCTTTCTGTCCAAGGAGGACACACGTCCATTCTGGAAGTCAGTGACAAAATCACAGCCTTTGTGAAGAAAACAGACCTGTGGAGAAGGATTCATGATGGAATAACTGACATGTTCCCCCAGCTGACAGAGTTTCTCCACACAAATAACGTCTGTGGTTACAGTAAGGGAGGTCATCATCTCACACCTCGCATCACTCAGCAAGCACTTCAGCACATACTTCTCAGATGTGAACACTGATGCCTGGAATTGGGTGTGTGATCCATTCGCACCAGGCGCAACAGCAAAAAGCCTGACAGGTAAGGCAGAAGAGCAGCTCCTGGAGTTGTCCTGTGGTCGGACATTAAAGGCCCGATTTCAGCAGGTTGACCACGCAAACTTTTGGGTTGCCCTATCACACGAGTATCCTGAACTCACTGCTGAGGCCATGCTAATATTGCTCCCTTTTCCTACCACTTACCTCTGTGAATCATCTTTTTCCACACTGACTACAATGAAAAACAAGCACAGAGCTCGTTTACTCTAGCTCGGAAGATGATCTTAGAGTGTGTTTGTCATCCATCCCTCCAAGAATAGAAAAACTGTGTGCAGAGAGACAGGCTCATCCCTCTCACTAATTCAGTGTGATTTTGACTGACTTGTCTGTGGTAAGACAGGAACCAAGTACAATATTACTTGGTATGGGTTCTGTTATTATGACTTTCAGTTTTATGTGAAAAAAAAATGTTAAATTAAAGAAGNGTTAAACAATGTTGTCTTTTTCAAAAATCGTATCATGATTCGTATATGTTTGCTCCCTAAGTGCCTTTGTAATGTGTCTGTTATGTCAAACCTTTCCTTAATGTTTCTGAACTGTCTTATCATAAATTGTCTCTCGTTTGTACTTCTGACGTACTTTTATAACATGTTCTATGGTTTCATTTTGTCCACAATAATCACATTTCCCTGTATTATGTTTTTGTATTGCAAAAAGTGTAAAATTAAGTCCTGTATGTCCAAATCTCAACCTTGTTATCACTCTTTCTTCTTTTCTGCTCCTTTTTCCAGCTCTCGTTTCTCCTACCACCCTTTGGATCTTATAAAACCACCTCCCTTTGTTCTCTCTCTCCCATCTCTTCTACCATTCTTTCTTCAGTCTTTCTTTAATTATACTTTTTGCTTCAGATTTACTTGTCTTAATTGTAATGTTAATCTCACTTTGAACTGCTTTCTTTGCCGTTTTATCTGCGTTTTCATTTCCTCTTACCCCTATATGTGCTGGTACCCAGAGAAAACCAACAGTTAACCCCATCCTTTGTATTCTGAATAATGTATGATTAATTTCTAGTAAAATGTCTGGCCTGCTGTCTGAGTGATTGTTTTTTAAACTCATTAAAACTGAACTTGAGTCTGAACAGATTATGGCATTTGTTTTACTTCTTCTACCCACTGTATGGCTAATAATACTGCAATCATTTCTCCTGTATAAACTGATAAATTGTCAGTGATTCTTTTACCTACTTTTATTAGAAATTCTGGAACTATAAATGCAACTCCTATTTTCTCTGTTGATTTTGAAGCATCTGTGTATATTTGAATGTACTGATAACTGTTTATATAATCCTGCACTGTATGTGAGTTGAAAATGTATGATGTGTCTCTTTTCTTTTCCATTAATGTCAAATCAACTGTAGCTTCTGATAGAATCCAGGGTGGTATTACTGACAGCGGTAACATTGGACTTAATGTTAGATTTTGCATTTGATATTTCTCTGTTTCCTCTTAAATCACCCACCCAAAACTACCTGTCTGTCTTTTTTTTTCCCAGCATGCACTTAAAATGTCTAGTGTTGGATGATCCGGATTATTGCTTTTTAAGTTTAGTTTATCATCATTTGGGTTCTTCTCAGGTCTAAAGGAAATTCTCCCATTTCGACTTCTAATGCTTCTTCTTCTTCTTCTTCTTGTCGGTTTTATGGCGGTTGGCAACAAACTGTTAGCATTACCGCCACTCACTGGTATGGAGTGTGGTTCGTGATGTTTTAAATATATATATATATATATTCTACCACAACTTCTTCTAAACATACACTCACACATTCACACATAAAAACACATACATCCTTGTGCACAGCTTTATATATCATGCCTTCACTCACAAACATACTTACTATACTAAAATTCTATGAAATAATTTAGTTTTCTTTAGAAATTGAATAATTCTTTGTATATGTTTACTTCCTAAATTCTTCCTCAATATATCCAATAAATTAACCTTCTCCTTAATACTTTCAAACTCTCTCTCTTCATATATCTTCTCTCTTTTTCATATTTATGACATTCTACTATAACATGTTCTATGGTTTCATATTTGTCACAGTAATCACATTTTCCAGTTTTATGTTTTTGAATTTTAAAAAGTGTATAATTAAGTCCTGTATGTCCAAATCTTAATCTTCTTATCACTCTTTCCTCCTTTCTGTTTCTTCTTTCTCCTACATTCTTCTGAATTTTATAAAACATCTTCCTGTTTTATCTTCATCCCATCTTTTTTGCCATACTTTCATCAGTTTCTCTTTAACAATACTCTTTCCTTCAGATTTACTTATTTTAACTGGAAAACTAATAGTATTTTTGATTGCCCTCTTTGCCATTTTATCTGCCCTCTCGTTTCCTTCTACCCCAGTATGCGCTGGAACCCACACAAATATAACTATTAAACCCATGTTTTGTATTCTGAGTAATATATGAAATATTTCTAATAAAATGTCCATCCTACTATCTGTTTCATTATATTTTAAACTTAATAATGCAGAGCTTGAATCTGAACATATTATTGTTTTTAATGGTTTTATGTCTTCTACCCATTGTAAAGCTAATAATATTGCCAACATTTCTCCTGTGTATACTGATAATCCATCTGTAATTCGTTTTCCTATTTTTATATTGAATTCTGGTACTTCAAAGGATATTCCTATTTTCACAGTTATTTTTGATGCATCAGTATAAATTTGAACATATTGATAATAATTATCTAAATATAAGTGCACTGAATTACTATCTACAACATTTGATTTGTCTTGTTTCTTTTCCATTATTGACATATCTTCTCTTGCTGACTTCTAATGCTGATGTTGGTGTGGTCTTAAATGCTCATACGCTGCATGTTTACCTTGTTTCTCTGCTTTAACACAGCTGATTCAGTGATTCAATTACCTCTTCGAGTATTGTAGAAGCCTGTTAATCATCCAGTCATGCAAACCAGGTGTGTTTGAGCAGGGAAACAAGAAAACCTGCTGGATAGGAGTCCACATGGATCGGACTTGGACAGCTGAGCTTAAAACATAAAAACATAAAAGAATAAAATAATAATAAAATATTTGTTGAATTTACTTGAGTGGTTCCACTCAGTTGAGTAAATCTAACAATTTACACAAATAACACAAAATCTTGTTCTATTTGTGCAACTCATTTGAGTGGAACCCCATGGCATAACTTGGTAAATTCAACAAATCATTTTTGAGAATTTAAGTTCATAATTTGAGTAACTGACTGTATAAAATACTCAGTATTTATTTTAAATTGTCATCAATGCATGTCGCCATATGATGAGATTTATGCTCTCACTCTGCTCTGCAGCTGCTGGGTGTTTGTTTAGTGTAAAGTTAAAACAACTGAATATAATTTTGGTTGAAAGATAGAAATAAGTGCATACTGAAAAATAGCTCAACAAATATCAAAATCAAGTTCTAACATTTATTTAATCATGCTACTGCAGACAT